TGTTTTACTTCAAAAAAAAAAAAAAAAGATTAGTTGATTTAAGAAAGACTCATCTTAAAATCTTTTTCCTTTGAGGGGAAGACTCATCTTAAATTCAACCAATCAAACTGGTTTAAGAAACAAACAAATGGGGATATGTAGTTGCACCCACATTGACCAATCTTGAGCACTTTAAATGGGGCATGAAAATTCATCTGAATTCTCATTTGGAAAACCTAAAAGTAGGTGTTCTAAATTTTGACTCATGTTGGTGCCCAAATTTTCAGTTTTATTTCGCCTTAAGTTATTCAATTTTACACTTTTTTTTCATCACTAGAATAGACGTTCCATATAAAAAAAAAAATTAATTGGAATTTCAGTTCTACGTTACATAAAAGAGATCTATGGAATGGAGAAACAAGAATCTGTTTGGTAGTCGTAATTATCGCATTATAAATCAAAAGGAAAGAGAACAATAATGAAACAGAGCATACTCTATGCCCCCAATGCAGGGGAAACAATACCAAAAAGAAAAAAGAAAAAAAAAACTCACAAACTAATTCGAATTTAAAAGCTAAAAAAACAGGGGAACCCTTTTGAATGGGCTTTTATATATATATGAATTTCAAATGTCACTGCTATTTAATTTGTTTTCGTGATCTTAGCATATCGGAAGATCCGCCGGCGGAGCCTCTATGGACTGCAATTGTCCGACGCCATTATCTACCAGAAACACCATCGCCAGCCCCCACGTGATATGCACGTCCAAGTGACAGTGCATTATCCAAGCACCTGATACATCATAAAATTATTAGAGTTTTAATCTTTTTAATTAGGTTAAACTAAATTGAAAATTTGAAAATAAGAAATTAGATAGGATTAAATTTATTAATTAAATTTTGGGATTTATTACCTGGGTTATCGGCGACGAATCGGATGACAGCCCAGCCATTGACGGGCACGGCCACCGTGTTTCTGAGAGGTGGGTCAACGAGGTTGAACTTTTTAGTATCAGTTTTCGGGTTAAAGTTTCCAAATCCCTCGGCAACGATGTAGAAATCGTATCCATGGAGATGAATCGGGTGATTTTCCGGCGTCACAATGCTCGTGTCCTGCAACACAACCTGAACTCTCGATCCGTATTTCAATCGGTAGCCTTTAGTACCGGGAACCGGTTGGAAAAGCGATCGGCTGACGTTGCCGGTATAATCGAATTTCACCGGCGGGTTGGCCGGAAAATCAGGGGTGATGACGCCGGGAATTCTCTGCTGGAAGGCCTGAAGAATCGAGATGTTGGAAGGAAGCAC